GTATTGTTCTATATACTTTACACAAAGTTAACATGGTTAATTACATTATTAATAAATGTTATTTAATAACTGTATATTGGAAAATAAAATTTCCTTCTCTTAAAAATGCATGTTTATAAACAAACAAAAATTATTCTAATTTATAAACTTATCCAAACTTAAGGCATTGTACAAGAGATTTGTTGTAATATAATAATTATTTTTATTAATTTAAAACTTTTTAATATTTAAAATATAAAGTAAATATATCAAATATAATACAACATTATATCCAATTCCAGCTTTAATAATGAATTCAAATGAATTAATATTTAATTTGTCACAAAATAAAAGTATTCATCTGTCTAATACATATGAAAAATATATGGAAATAAATCCGAACACTACATATTAGTATTAAAATTAATCATTATTTTATGTTAAATAGTATTAATGATAAATGATCTTCCACCCAGAGAAACAGAACATTTTCCAGTTAGTATACTTTAATTTTTATTGCTTAATTCTTTAGCATTGCATACGCTCTCAATTAAGAAAATAAATTTGTTAAATATAGAATCATCAAATTCCCTTTGTATATTTTTGTAATATAGTTAAAAATAAAAGATAAAATACCTTCCATTTGTTGCAAGTTTGAGTAAACATTTATCAAATATCATATAAAATATTGTAACGATAACGTTGATACTATGCCATCGAGTTCCTTATTATATAAGTTAGTATGAATTATAAAGATCGAATAGTAAATATTTAATTATGTTTAATAGAAATCAAGTTGTTAAAGTTGTACTAAAACATCTCTGAATAAACATCAACTTTAATTAATAACTATTTACAATGAGCAATTTGTTTAAAGTATATATATATATATATATATATATATTGAAGCAAAATTTAAAAAAAAACGTGTTCGTGCTTACTAATCACTAATTAGTAATTACTAATACTTAAGCTAAGCGGTAGGAACAGGAAACTAATTTTAATTAGATAATAGTGGTAATTAATGCCTATATATATATATATATTTCGCTTTGACANTATTATCGTACATAGAATATTTTATTATATTTTTGAATAGTAAAATTTACTTCCATATTTTTACGTGTTCTTGCAATAAAAAATACTTTCTATTACTTTCATTAAGGCTTAGAAATTATACAATGGAGTTAATATTAATTCACATTTAAAGTTACGAAAGTTATTGTTGAAATATAATCTTTTCTTAATAAATAAAAATAAAAATACCAGTATTAATTTATATTTTATTTTTCAAACATTTAAATTTAAATAACAGATGGCGCCACGTGTTATATGTACCTATCAAGGTCTATGTACATAGGTCGGGACACGCGGAAGAGCCGCCATTTTGGGCCTTATTGAGTCGCATGTTTTAAAGAAACTTGTATGAGCAATCAGTTTTATACGACATTAATTAAACTAAAATTGCATAAATCCAGTGATTTCCAGTCAAAAATATCATAATAATTTCGGATGGTTATACAAACCCAATTTTATGTAACTTTTTGATCAAATAGTTTAAAAGAAACAATCGTCCATAACATTTGCTGTCGTAATTAAAACATTATTTAATGTTTTCTGAGAAGCTTAAGGATATATGATTTCTTTATTGTTTTCATTACATAAAAGTATAGTCAGTTTTCCACTCAAACATCAGAATTCAGATTCATAATATAAGACATCACTCCATGATTGACATTACAAAATAAATGTGGATCTAAAATTGTTTTAAATGTAAATAAAGCATTTGTAGTTGTAGTCTCCTGTTTACTGACTGAAGTTGTTTTTTGTTTAATTTATCTAAAGTAGTATCATCACTTTCTTTAATTGTTTTTTCTGTCAAGAAAGACTTTACTAGAGCTATATAATACATTATAATTCAAAATATGTTAAAATAATTATTTTTTCGTACAATATAACATTTCTCGCAAAAGTAGGCAGCATTCTGACTGAATCATTTTTTTGTTTAATTTATCTAAGATTTAATGTATCATTATTAAAAACAAACATAAAAATGCAAATTGAATAAACTATTTGAAGACGAATGAAATTGCATCGAACAGGATTAAGTTAAAGCCGGATTCGGGACGCTTATTAAAAGGAAAAAAAGTAACGAAAGATGCGTTTTAAATGAAACTGAGAAATAACGATCAATAAATGTACGAGAAAAAAATGAAAGTTTGCAAATAAAAAGTTTCGTGCAGTTTTTAATTAGGAAGAAAGCAAAAAGAAAATGCGTATCCGAAGTTCAAATAAGTATTAATGTCTTCGGAAAGGCCCAAAAGGCAATTTAACTTCTACTTTAGTCCGCGAATTAATCTAGATCCATTAAATGTCATCATCCGGTCCACGATAAGTATATATACACGTAAATATTTAAAGCAAACCTATACTAGTATAATCTGCGAATCAAGGATAAAACATTAGTTTTATCCTTGATTCGCAGATTATACAAGTATAGGTTTGCTTTAAATATCCCTGATTACCATTCTATAGTAATCCATAATTTATAAACGACCAGCCAATACTTTTCGGGCCTCTTTAGATGTTAATAAATACATATTTCTACTTAGCGAAAAGACCAGATTTATTTATGTTCTAGCTAAAAAAAAATCTACTCTTTTATACAGAGAAACTTTGTAACCGAGGATTAAACCATGAAATATTTATTGCTTGGTGACAATCTTTCCGAACGAATCCGAGAAATTTATAAACGTTATTGAAAAAGATCGTTTCGTAGTTTCGAAATGTTAATACAGTATATCGAAGTTATTTATAATTCGATAACGAAACGATTCTTCCAAAAATTTAGATTTAAATCAAATCCTCGATGACGTCATACGTAAAAAAATACGTCGGAGAATACCATTTCTCCGTTAATTTGGCGCTTAAGTTTTTTAACGGACGACTATAAAGAAGCGAAACATACGTTGGATTGACGATGCAAAGGATACAGGCGCATTAACTTCATAATTGAATGAATAAAGATAAGAAACGCCATTAAACGAACAAGGTCCCTCTAATGTGAAAATCTATGAAGAAAACTAAGTTCTGCGTACGAAGCTAGACATATGGATAAAATATTTACAGGCAAACAAAAATAATAATAATAATAATAATAGTATTATTTGACATGTTTAAAAATCACAATTTAGCCTATATTAACGCAAAACTTTCTCGTAAAGTTTCTAACTTTAAGCACTCGAGTAATTAATAAAAAAAATTATCTAACTAAATAAAATTCTAATAATACTTTATTCGAAGAGTAAACTTCTCGATTATATTGTCTTAAAATGATTTAAATCAAAACTTTTCGATGTGGAAGAACTTGGAACATGTAATCGCCTAGTCACGTGATATCTGTTACATCATAAAACGTAGTACGTTAGCCTAATAATTTAAAATTAAAGTGTTTTAAAATAATTAATTTTCGTTTTTAATATATTATAAAAGCCTAGAAAAGTTCCAGAGTTATTTCAAACAAACTTATTTACGTTATAATTTGGCCATATTGCAATTTATAATCACCGGACGACACGAATCAAATAATGCGTAAGTTTAATTAAATGCTCCGAAAATAATTTTAAAGAAGTTATTTATAGTAAGCTTAATAAAATTCGAATTAATTATAAACGAAATTCGAGATTTTCAATATGTCATAATTATGGTGAAAATAAGTTTATACATAGCGCAGATAATTAATACGCACTTAAACTACTTTATTTTTTATATGTACGTATATATATATATATATATTTTATAATTCCAAAATTCCCGAGAAAACGAAAAAAAAAATGAAGACGTAAAAATGGAGAAAATAAAAACCGTTGGGCAAAAAATAAAGTTAAATTAGCATAAAACACGGCTTATTATACGTAGTTAGTTAGGAGTAAACACAATATGGCTAACGCGAAGGAAGACAAACTTCTTTAAATTGACATTAAAAAAAACGCTACTGGAGCAAAGTGTTATAGAATTTTGTCGCAGTCATAAAGTGTTAACATTTAATCGTTCGACTCGAATTTGGACGCCAGTAAACTCTAAGTAAAATAAAAATGAAGTTTCGGAAAAAGAAATTTTAAATTTGATAACCTTAAGTGTAGGGAATGGCACGAGCGAGTGCAAATCGAGCGGCTTGTATAGAGAGTATAGGGTAGACGGGCGTTTTGCCTAATAATTATTAAGTTGGGAAGAAAAAAATATTTAAAGACGGTGATATTTTGGCGTAATTACACCGACTCGACCGTTCGAACCAATTTATAACGATGGTAAATAAATATTAGACTACGCAACGGGACTAGCTAAGCGAGCGTTACACTCAATCCCATGCTATACGGTGTCGAGACTTAACCGACTTTAACGGCTTAAATGTGGCAAAAAAACTCGTTTTGTGTGTTCCGATCGAAGTCGGAGACATATACAGATAATTTGGAAATTTCTTAGAATATTTTGATTGATAATAAAGTTTTAAAACATTCCAATTTACTTGTACATAAACCAGAACAACATGGCGGAATCGGGCGATGTCTGTGTTTCCCACCTGAAATTTCCCGCCTCGATTCTGTCGGTCGCTCGCTCGCAGCTCGTCAACGAATGTCTCGGACGATAGAAGAGATATGAAATTTTATATTCCCGGGGTGGATACGAACCCGTAAGCGAAAATATACGGTTACCGAGGCGGGAAACACAATCTATCTGGAAATCGATGGCACGCGGACGTACTTGGACGGCCAAATGAAAGCTACAGAAGCCGGGTAGCGGCACGTGCTTGGGTGGACAGTTAATATAACATCTCTAGAGTCAATATCGAAAGTTTGATAAGGTTTGGAGTCGGTTGACACGGTCAAAGAAGGCAGAACTTTACACCAAGAAACACAATTTGACTCCGGTCGGCTCGCTTCTAGCCACGCGGCAGAGGAGGATTGTTTGTAGCTCTCTCGGAAGTCCGCCTCGCGTCTATAAGTAGAGGCGGGAGTCGGCTGGGCGTGTGCAGTCGAGTTGGTCGGTCGACTCGTCAACTTCGTCTCGTGCAGCGTCAACAGTTGGAAAGTTGTCGAAAATGTCGGATGCGGCCGCCGCCACTCCTCAGAAGAAGGGAAAGGCTACCAAAAAGAAAAAGGTGCCGTCGACTCATCCCAAATATCTGGAGATGGCAGTGTCGGCCATCGGAGCTCTCCAAGAGAGGAACGGTTCGTCTCGGCAGGCCATCCACAAATACATCATGGGCAAGTACAACGTGGGAAAGGACCCGAAAGTAGTGAATACTCACTTAAAAATGGCTCTGAAGAGAGGCGTGTCTACCGGAGTTTTAAAACACGTGAAAGGACAGGGTGCGTCCGGATCGTTCCGGCTGTCGGTGGAGAAGAAGGCGGCCGCGGAAAAAGCCAAAACCACGGTTTCCAAGCCGAAATCGAAACCTAAAGCGCCCAAAGCCAAACCCAAAGCGCCTAAACCCTCCAAAAAAGTCTCGGCGAAAAAGTCGACTAAAGAGAAGCAGCCAAAACCCAAAGTGGTCAGCAAACCCGCGGCCAAAAAACCCGTTAGCAAACCGAAAAAGAAGCAGAAACCGGCGGCTAAACCCAAACCAGCCAAGAAGGCAGCCAAAAAGCCCGCGTCGGCCAACAAAACGCCCAAAAAAAGTAAATCGAAGAAGAGCGCAAAGAAATGACGCTCCGGGACTTGTCTACCTGCAAAAATTGTGATATAATTACGTCGTCTGTGGACTCGGACTCTAGGACCATCTGTAAATATCGCCACGCATATGAAAAAACCCATCATTATATCATAACGACAGTTTGATTTCTCGTCCATGCCGTAAGTTTGTATATTTGTATTCTTTTTAATTTGTAGAACCATCTGGGAACCGCGAGCTTTCTTTTGAAAAAGAAACCACCCAAGAACGTGCATGCTACTAACAAAAAGCTATGTGGTAAGTCTTGTCTCCAAGATGACCATCTAGAAATTTCGACTTTCTGTTCGATGGAAATGTATGCCGAAGCCAGCAGTTATGTAAAGTGGAATTGGATCATTAAATGAAAGTATTTGTTCTTATTTGTGCCACTTTTTCTCCTGCTCTTTCCCACCGGATGTGTTACACTCTCGCTTATCGACTGATTCTCGCTCGGATGTGCGCGATTCCTATCCCAAAGTATCCAACAAAGTTTTTCAAAGGCAGCTATCGCCATCTAGCGGCGCTCTACTAAACGATTTCCATTAAATTCTGCCCATTGTTTTCGTATTACGTAACATTTAATTATCCGAATGAGAACAATCGTAGATGCTTTTTGAAATACGTCGCTGACATTCTAAATTAATTTGATAAGTACTGTACTTGTTTTGGTTTTTTAAAGAAGCGAACTCTCGAAACTCAAAATTATTCGTCGGGAAAGAATTACCGAATTCTCTAAAATTTTAAACAATTTCTAGTTTTATTTTTAAAAAATAGATATAGAAAATAATACAGTAAGAACAGTTAAAAAATCGTTTCGGTATTTAATTAAATTTTAATTTTCGAGCAAAAGATGGCGCCACTGAAATTTTATACTATGAAACTTGTTAAAATCGTGATGTCATAAAACAAGCAGATTATACGAACTTTGTCGTCAATTAAACTAAGTGATATACGTCTAATTTAATTACGTGTCCATTATTTTATTCCACAGTTTTCAGTGTTATAGTTTAATTTTTTTTTTTTTTTTATATAGTTAAAGTACAGAGCTTTAACCCTTCGCTCCCTTGTTCAAAATTTCGTGCCGATTCATCGATTTCCTGTCCCACCGTTTCTATTTTTTTCCCGTGACAGAAAGTGTCGTGATTTTAAGCTAAGTATTTTATATATATATATATAGAGAGAGAATAGATTTTTTTAACATCAATTTTATATGAAATAGACTAACGTAAATCCTCGATTTCCCGCCATCATTTGCAAGGTCGGCTCGATGGGTGAGACGATTGCCTCGAGCGGTAAAATGATCAATTGACAATGTTCAAAAGGAGAAAACTAATGAAAATAATAAGCCGTGAAGTCCTGTAAATGTACTTTAAATAAAGTTGATTATAAATAGTTCACACAAGAGTGCCAGCGCTAGAATTGCTCTCTATTGGCAACCGTTCTGGAAGCAGGAGCGGCAAAAATCGTTTTCGCTTCGGGTGCAAGTAACTATCGAGCAGGCATTTGTTCACATTTGAAATTGGCACTTCTTTTTCCATCTTTTGGACACTAATAGGGTTTTTTCCTTACTCGTGGGTTCGGGAAAATCTACAATGGGACGGCGGCTGGCGAAGGACGGGATCCGATATGTTCGAGGCAAATCTTCCATGAAAATCCTCTAGTTCTCCGCCCGGATTCGTGCCTACCAGCGATGAAGTGGATAAAACCACCGAAGTCCACTAGTGGCCGAGCGGTTTAATTGCAGAGTTTGGGAGTTCGGTCGTGGGTTCGCGCCTCGCCCGGACGGGCTGGCCACGTGGAGTTTTCCGGGTTTTCTCCACATATAACGCCTATATAGGGGCCAGTTACCCTTAAAAAGACCTACCGGAAGGCATCTCCCCTAGGCAGATCGCACAAGTGTTGCATTACCATAACTTAACAAACACAAACAATAAAATCACCGAACATCGGTTGGTCTGAATCACACCTGAACAACTGAAGTTTTCTTCACATGTCTAACATTTATAGTTTACCAGGAAGCATCTTATAGAAAATACTTCTGGAGACATCTGTTGGTAGATCGCCCTGTGTTGTGTTGCCTTATTCAAGAGGATTCGATCTTGGATTCAAGGAGGGGTAGGTTGACGTCTTAATCGTTTCAACCATTCGGCCAAAATTGGCGCTAAATAGAGTGTGATACTAAATAGAAGTACTTCAAACAATAATAATTATATGAATGAGATCTATACACAGATTTGAGTTTGGGGCTTAAAGGCAGGTGATTTAATATAACAATTTCACAATGAAAAATCTTGATTGTTTACAGATACTGAAAACTTCTTTAAAAGAACTGTCATATCCGGATGGACCAACAGCGAAAAATTCCTGGGGATTTTTTGACCTGTCCGGATTCGATTCCGTGTCCTCCCCCAGAGCGGTAGGCTGCCATCTTGACCGCTTTGCCATGCATCCTCAAACATAGTGCTTTTAACACTACTAACATAATTTTTACCTCTGGTGAAATATAGATTTTTTATCATTTTCAATGCCTTCCAGTAGCCGAGTAGATAAAACAACTTAATACTAGTAATTAGTCGGAGTTTGCGCCTAATCAATAGCCTGGCCGTATGGTGTTTTCCAGATATCCTTCAAATGTAAAGCTTGGACACCATCCACATCACGTAAATTCGCAACGGAATCGTAAAACTGATAACCAAACTGACGAAACTTTCAGTTTTGGAACATTCAGTTTGACAAAAACAAGGCTGAATCCATAGTTAAAAATTATTTAACTTTCCGTTTTCGTTCTGCTTTTCTGTAGTACTGCAACCAATAAAAACGCATAGATCTGTGACTCGTAGTCATGTGTAATGTCATCGTCGTATTGGCGGAAAGTATAGCGAAGAGAATGAGAATCGATTTAAAACTATTTATCGAAGAAGTTAGAAAATATAAATGTCTATACGACAAAAAAACGTAAATAATTTTAAAATACATCATCTGGCATGATGTAAATTTAGTGAATGAATCTTTAGTGGCATGAAAGTTTGATATATCAAACTTTCATGCCATTCATTCCACATTACTGCCCTGAGATCCACTTTAGGATTTCAGTGCAGTTTGATATACTAAACTGAGTTCCTAAAGTGAAATCGTTTAGTTATAAAATGTTTTAAATAGGAAACGAAGCAGAGCAGAGATAGGAAGTGCAGAGGAATTACAGAACTGACCAATAGTTGACGCATTTCCGCGTAACGTTCTTTTGGGTCAAGTTAAAACAACATAACCGAAACGAAAATGCTGTTTTTTAGTTCTGTTTTCAGATAATGTGGAGTCCAGCTTAACACCTAAATAAGGGCGAATTTTCCATAGAAAGTCTTCCCGAGAAGCATCCCTCTAGAAGATTGCCCATTTGTCGGTTGTCTTATCCTTACAATCCTTATCAATTCAGATTCCTACGTTTTAAAAATCGGAAAGAAATGTCACATCATTTTAGTTTCCACAGATGCCAAAAGCTCAACGCACCGAGATCAACTCAGGCCAAACTGACGAAGTTATCGTTTCTCTTCTGGACGTTGCCAACGACCGTTCTTGTTCTCATTGTGTAACATTGAAGGAGAAACCACCTGCTCCAGGACTTTTGTCCAAAGAACTGAGATTGTGTATATGGAGACAAATTGTTGAAAATCCTGTAAGATATTTTTTCCTCTCTCTCTCTCTCTCTCTCTCTCTCTGTCCAATAAACGAATTACGCTAAAGAGCATGTTTGCCTCAGTGCCTTAAAATGCACCCGCGTATACTCCACACTGCGGTGCGCCGTCTCGAGCAATTTTGACCGGTCGCCTTCGTTTTTTAACTTGCACAGTTTCATCTGTATGCTATAGCAGTTCAACGCATGCGGGAGATATTTTTCATCTTGCCAACAATTTTGGAGTTGTTTAGTAACATCATGCCTTTCTCACCAAGAAAATAATTAGATTAAGGGAAGCAGATATCGTGTTAAATTTTGGTTTTTTTTGAGTGCATAAGCTATTGGCAAAATAGTCTATGACTGTTGGTAGTTCCTATCTGTAATAATAATGTAAAACAGTTTTGCAAAACTATTTAGTCAATTTCTGCATTATCATACAAATTTCAAAAGAGCTGGCAAATCATCAGAAGAATTGTTTATCCGTGATGGTCGGAAAACAAACATTGTCTCTAATGATGGACTCAAGCATCTGAAGTCATTATGTCCTCGCTATAAAGTTTCTCATCTCACCACATTTGAAATCATCACAGAACGGATGCTCTGTAATGCAATACAGTATCTTCGTTCCAAATTCCAGCATGTTTCTGCTTGTGCCATTATATCTGATATCGAATCATTCCATGAATTGTCCTATCTTGGAGTAACCCTTCACTACATTGAAGGCTTTAGCTCAAATCATAAATCATTACAGTGAAACTTTGAAATGTCACTTAATTGTCACACATATAGGTAGAATGTTGCAAACACATTAGAAGTATTATTATATTAGAAGAAATGTATAATATTTGTGTTGGACTTACCTGCTCCATTAGAATACTCCTGTTACACATTTTATGGCTGACATAGTACTATATAAGAGGCATGTAGATGATGTCTACATATTATGGAGAAACAAAAATAGGATTCAACAGTTTTTGGATGAGGTCAACTCAAATAATGAGGGATTGAATCTTAAAATAAAAGTCAATACAAATACATTTATTGGACATTGATATCATATTTAGCAAAGAATCTTTGAACATAAAGGTATACATTAAACCCACGCATGACCCTTTCTGCATTATCATACAAATTTCAAAAGATCTGGCAAATCATCAGAACAATTGTTATATGGTTCATCCGAGATGGTCGGCAAACAAAAAAAAAAAAAAAAAAAATTGTCTCTGATAATGGACTCAAGGGTATATCCCTTCTTGGCCAAATGACTGATACATTTATAAACTTTTAGCATTTAGAGCATTGATAAGAAGAGTCTTCATGTATTGTTCCAACATTTATGACAGGATAAAAGAGCTAGATAGAATTAAAAATGTAGCGGTATACTTAGGATATAAAACTACTGTAATTGAAAAATTGATAAAAATTTATACAGCGAATAGAAAGAGAATGATAACAAGAATGAGCAAAATAACTAAGTTTACGTATAACAAGAACATAACCAGTGTTATGAATGAAATTGCGAACTACAAAGACTCCCAGTTGGCAGTCAAGTGGGCGTCCACCATTTAAAGAAATGTTAAGGATAAAGTTAAAAAAGAAGAGCAAGCTGGAGTGAGTATACAAAATCCCGTATAAAATGAACAATTGGGTCTGGAGAAAAAAATATATAGTAAACACAAACACCTTAGTAAACGAACACAAGTATAACAT